AACCACTATGCTATCTCGACGGGCCCAAGCCAAATGACTTTTGAAACCAGAGTGTGGAAAGTTTCTCATTCTCTATTCCTCCCTGTCTTCCTCTCTTTCTCTCAATGACTTTCAATTAGATGAATAATATTTTTAAAAGAATATGTTCATTGTTCCTATAACAAGATAACAAAACAAATAATACAATTTGAAAATGACAATGTACTTAAGTAGACCTTTCTCCAAAAATAATACATAAGTGTCCAAAAAACTTAAGAAAAGAACAAAAAAAATTAGGAAAAGATGATCAAAGTTGCTAATCACCTGAGAGACAGAAATCAATATCAATATCACAAGAAATATGACTTTATACCTACTAGAAAAACAAAATAATGTGTTTGATGAGGATTGTGGAATTTGAAACTCCTGGGTGCTTTTGGAAGGACTGTGAAATGGCTGTGGAAATCAGTGTGAAGGCTTCTCTAAAAATTAAAACTAGAACAATCATTTGATCCAGCAGTTTCACTTTTACGTGTATTACTTTTTGAGTGTGTCTCAGGGAGACATTTGGATTCCCGTATTCATAGCAACATGATTCACAGTGACCCGAGGTGGAAACAGCGTTAATGTCCGTTGAAGAATGGATAGAGAAGATGTGATAGATGCACACAATGGAATATTATGTGTTCTTTCAAAGGGAGGAATGGATGAACCTTGAGACTATTAGGCTAAATTAAACAAGTCAGTCTCAGAAAGAAAATACTATACGAATTCACCTGAATGAGCAATCTAAAATTGTGAAAGTCATAGAAATCCTCAGAATTGTGTTTAGCAAAACTGGAGAGTGGGGGGGGTTGTTCAATTTGTAGTTTCAGACGTAGCGTCCTGGAGGCTTAATTCACAGCAGTGTGGATAGATTTATCACTGAATTATACACTTAAAAATTGCTATCATGGTACATTTTTATGTTATATGATATTTTCACAGTAAAGGAGGAAAAATGTTTGAGAACCCAGTAAAATGGCAAAAATTGTGTTGCAAGCTCCTTTAGGTTGTTATGATTTAGCTTCGATTGTGAGGCTAAAGGTGCCATTCTAGCAAATAAGTCAAGTCTATTAAATGCCTTGTGTTTATCATAATAGTAGAAGTCTGCAGCAGTTTTTCTGGCTTTGAGATACATGGCTCATTTTAAAAGTAAATTATTTTGTTACCATAGCAACATGCTCCCATCCTGAAATGTTATGTTGGTTCTTGTTTAAATGGTCAGTATTCTGTCATTTTCTCTATATAAATGCTTTAAAGCCATGAAAAATATCTTGAAATTAAAGATTGTTTCAATTCTCTTTTGTTGAATTACATTTTAAAAAGATTGAGATGTCTTCTGTGAAAAAGGAGTGCAAAATTTAAAAAGACATTACTAATAAAAATTACATTTGCATTCTTTTCTTGGCTACAAAATTAAGAAAAGTATTTCCACTCAAAAAAATCTTCATTGTATATGATTTGAGTAATTTACACCAATAAAACTTTTCTGATTTTTAAACATTTCAAAATGCATGAAGTCTGTCCTACAGACAATATTTATTAGCTTATGGTTGTTGAGAAATGTTAAAGAAATATTTAGACAGTGAAAAACAAAATGATGAATTAGAATATGACCTCAGAAATCTGTAGTAGATAAAGCTGCAATAGTAAAATATTAGAGAATGCATTATATCAAGACCCTTCTTAATAGGATAAATGTTAACCAATGGGAAAATCTGAGTAAGTATAATATGACTTCTCCCCAGCTACAGGCGACTGGATGCGTGGGGGAAAAGCAGCCCCGTAGCTGCTGGGCACTCTGGGCCTGGTTAATCCCAAATTTCTACATAACCATACCAATATGCCAGCATAACTGCTTATTCCTTTTTTTTTTTTTTTTTTTAAGATATATGTGGGGAAGGCAGGAAATGCCAGACCAGGACAAGTCATTCTGACCCCCAGGTTGGTGTGGGAGGTGGCGGGAAGGGGATCTGCAGGTGTGTTGGAGTGAAATCAGCTGAGTGCATGTTGGACAGGGGAGGACTGACTTCTGGGGCTCCCATGGCCCCTGCCACTGCACTTGCAGGTAGCAAGGGAGCTCACATGATATCTATTGTTGGGAGTAGGCCTGGCCCGGGAACTTGGGTAACTCCCCTGCTGGGCCGTAGCTCCTCCTGCTAAAAAGAGCCAGAGCTTGCAGCAGGCCAGACCAGGCTGGGGTGCAGCACCTTTTGGCATATCTGTGAGCCTGGCTGGGAGTAGATTGAGCAGGGTCAGTCCATAGCACACATTGGCATGAATGAGAGCCAGGAGGGGTGCAGGCCAGGCAGGGTTGGACCTCAACATCCACCAGTTCACATGAGAGCTGGGGCTGGGAGTGGGCCAGGCTGGGCTCTGCTGTTGCACTCACTGGTGAGTCTTGGAGCTTTTTTTCTCCCAGTTATTTATATAAAATATACTGGGATAGTGTGAATTACAGTTTCTCCACTAAACTGTGAAGCACTAGGAGTGTATTCCTTCATCTGACTTTGATTTAGTACCCATCATCCAAACTCCTATGCTCACCTAACCCTCCCAGACTCTAGTAATCACCTTATGTCTTCAGATTGGTTCTTTTTTATTTTGCACATATAAATGAAAACATGAGATATTTGCTTTTCTATAACAGGATTATTTCACTAAACAGAAGAGCCTCCAGTTACATCCATTTTGGTGCAAATGATAAGACTTTTATATTTCTATTGTTGCATAGTATTCTTTGTGTGTATAGCTTTGTCATATGCTTTGAAATCAGGTATTGTGATGCCTTTTGCTCCCCCCCCGCCCACCCCCCACCCCCGCTATCTCTTTAGGATCACTTTGTTTATTCTAGGTCTTTTGTGTTTTTCTATGAATTTTAGGATTCATTTTTCTATTTTTACAAATCATGTCATTGGTATTTTGATAGGGACCATATTGAATCTGTAGATTGCGTTAGGTAGTATCAACATGTTAATTAATTAATTATTATGATTCATGAAGGAGGAATATATTTTTGCTTTTTGTGTCCTTGATTTGTTACATTGGTGTCTTGTAACTTTCATTGTAGGGATCTTTCACATCTTGGACTAAACATATGCACAAATACCCCTTTTTTAGCTACTGTGATTGGGATTTGTTTATTGATTTCCCTTTCAGTAAAATAATTATTGGTGTAAAAATGCTACTGCTTTTGTATGTTGATTTTATATCCTGCAATTTTTATGGCTTGGTTTATTCTAATAGCTTTTTCATATAATGTTTATGGGCATTCTATGTACAAAATCATGTTATCCGCAGAAATGCCTATTTTGACTTACTCCTTTCTAATTTCAGTGCCTTTTATTTTTCCTCTTCCCTAATTGCTCTTTCTAATACAATATCATTCTAAGTAAGAGTGGTGAAAGTGGACATCTTTGTCTTGTTCCAAATCTCAAGGGAAATGAATGCTTTCAGCTTTTCCACATTCAGGATAATATTGGGTGTGTGTTTATCTTATAAACCTTTAATTTTGAGATATGTCCGTTCTATATGTAATCTGTTAACATTTTTCACCATGAAGTGAATTTGAATATTACTGAATGCCTTTTCTCATCAACTGAGATGATCATATGGTTTTGGTTCTTCATTCTATTGTTGGACAGATTATTCTCACTGATTTTTCAGTGTTGAACTATTGTATATCTCGGTTAAATTCTCCTTGATCATAATGATCATTTTTGTGTATTGTTGGATTTGATTTGCTAATACTTTGTTGTATTATATATTATACACTGTAATATATATATTATATCATATATATATATAAAGGATCTGCACCTCTCTTTGTATTGTGCTTTGATACTGATACCAGCATAATTCTGGAAGTGTTTGGCATGGTTCCATTCTTTTCAGTATTTTGAAGTAGTTGAAAAGTATTGGTACTAATCCCACCCTTTTTTGCTTTCTGATGCTTTATTTTTTAGTTATTTTTGCTATTTTCCGTGATATAGTTTTGTAGTTATAGGGACTTCCCCTTTCCTTTGCCTTGCTCCCTCTCCATTTTCCTTTTAAGTGTTTTGTACAATTCTGTTGAAAAACCTTCATGTTCTGGATTGTTCTTTGGTGTTGGAAAGAACACCAAAGAACTGTTTCCTTGAGGCTGCTGTGTTTAGATTTTCTGCATTATCTTAATTATCTTCTGCATCATCTTGGTATGCTCTTTGTATCTTAGAATTTATCTATTTCAAAAATGAAAAAAGGAATTTATGGATTTAAAGTTTTCAAATTTGTTAGCATGTAATTTTTCATAATAATTTCTTATGGCCCTTTGTATTTCTCTTGTATAAGCTATAATGTCCCCTTTTTCATCCCTTGTTTTTTTTTAATTTCAACTTTTTATCTTTATTGTTTGTAAATCTGGCTGAAGATTGTCTGTTTTGTTTATCTTTTCAATTCAAAAAGACCAGCCTTTCATTATATCTTTTGTAATTTTCTTCTTTCAATTTCATTTATTTTTGCCCTCATTCTTATTGCTTTTTATTTTTAAAGCTTTAATTAGTCATTGATTTGAAAAGGAAAGATAGAGAGAGTCCAGCTGTTGATTCACTCCTCAACGTCTGCAATAAACAGAGCTTGCCAGACCAAAGCCAAGAATTAGAAAAATTCATTGATGTCTCTGATGTGGGTCTTAGGGAACAAACACTCGGGCTGTCATCCACTGTCTTCCCAGGAACATTAACGGGGTGATGGATAGAAATAGAGCAACCAGTGCTTGAACCAGCACACCAGTGTGGGATGCTGGCATTGCAAACAATTTGTGTGATAGTTCCAGGGCCCCTATTGTTTCTTGTTGACTACTAATTTGAGGTTTCATCTGTTCTTGATTTGCTGAGTTCTCACCATGCATCACGGTTTTTTTTATTTGAAAACTTTCTCTTTTTAGTGTGTGAACTTGTTATAAACTTCCCTCTTAATATTGTTTTTATTGTATACCACAGGTTTTGATGTGTTGTGCAGTTCAACATGCCACCTGAGATGCCGGCCTTCCTTATGTGTGCGCCACTTTGAGTTCCAGCCGCCCTACTTTTGATCCAGCTCCCTGATGATGCTTCTGGAAAGCAGCAGCAGCAGATGTCCCAAGTTCTTTGACCCCTCGAATTATGCGGAAGATGCAGAAAAAGCTCCTGGATCCTGGCTTTAGCCTGATATAGCACTAGCCTTTGAGATTATTTAGAGAGTGAACCAGAAAATGGAAAATATATGTCTCGCTCTCGTTGTTGCTCTCCCTCGCTCTTACTCTTGCTCTTTCACTGTGCCTTTCAAATAAATAAGAATAAAGCTTTTAAAACAAATTTATTCAGTATCTTAATTTACAATTTCAGAGGGCAGCCTTATCTTCCCCTTAACCTGAAATGCTTCCCCTTTATTTGACTTCCTTTTATAAAGGTTACAATATACATTGATTGTGTGTGTCATAAGTGGCATAAATTTATAAAAATAAAGTACTCTTTTGACTGCCATAATTAAGAACTAATTGACTATGCTGCAAAAAATTTTGTGGCATTCATTTATTAATTAAACTATCTTTAAACAGTAAGTAAATTTTATTTTTACTGCTAAGGATAGGAGTTATTTTATAATTTTTATAAAGTTTAGTATTTTAATTCACCAACAGTATATTAATATTGAGTATTAATAAGAATATGTTCATAATTAATATTAGTTGCATTGTGTTTTGCACATATCTCCTACAATTTGATAGTATACTATCAACAGTCTCTTGAAGATACTGATTTGATTTAAATAATTTATATAACAAATCATTTGTACCACATTTATTTACAGCAGGTGCTAAAGTTCTATAGCTATAAAGTTTTATAGCATGTAAATATGCTATGCTTTAATGTCATGATACTATTTAATGTGATTTGAAAATATTAACTAGATGCAGTGTTCTTATAGTACATAGAAATATAATATTGCTGGTTTTCTTTAGCAATTACACAATTAATGCTGTTTTCCGAAAAACAGTTTGAATCCTAACTGCTCTGCTTCCATTCCAGCTCCCTGCTTGTGGCCTGGGAAAGCAGTAGAGGATGACTCAAGGCCGACCCCTGCAACCACGTGTGGACCCAGAAGAAGCTCCTGGCTCCTGGCTTCAGACAGGCCCAGCACCGGCCGTTGCGGCCATTTGCAGAGCGGACCAGTAGAGGGAAGATCTCCCTCTCTCTAGTTCTCCCTCTCCCTCTTCCTCCCCTTCTCCGTAAATCTGATTTTGCAATAAATAAAAGTAAATATTTTTTAAAAACTGCTGAAGTAAAGTGGTTCTTCATAGAATAAGCATGTTTTTATCTATAAGAGTTTAGTAGAAGAAACAGGACTGGGCTGATAATGATTTTCATTTTAATTTGGAAGAAAACAAAATCCAGTAGATAATTAAACAGAAAGGATAGTCTTCTGAATTATTCGAATTTAAACTCTCCGGTCTGAAATTAGAGCAGAGAACACTAAAAATTCTAAACCTGTTCGGTGTCAGGTACCTGGGCATATTTCCAAGCATCTGGTTGGAAACTGAAAAACTCAAACCCCTGCTTGGCTAAAGAGTTATTGAATGTCCGCATGTTTATCAATATCCAGATTTTTTTAAAAAGATTTTTCCAATTTGTATTTACATTTCGTATGTGCCATGGTATCTTGTTCTTTTATGAATAAATAAAGAGCTAATGTACTTGCAGAAAAATATTTCTGCAAACTCTGGAGAACTAATATAAGAAAAAAAAAAAAACCTTCTGGAGAACGAGCGTAAATAATGGGAACATTTTACAAGGCGTGCAGCCGATCAGAAATCGAGCAGTTAAGTGAACGAACAAGCAAAGAGCCTTCTAACCATTTCTTAGCCAAAGCACGAGAAGTTTATCAAATACCTGTAGTAGAAACAGCCCACAGTATAGAGAAACAAGATGGCAGCTAATGCACGTGGGTAATCACCTCTCCACAGAGAAATCAACCTGAACAGCTGTGCATGCAGCAAGTAACTTCGACAAGCGACAGAAAAGGCAAATGAGAAACCAAACTGCAGGGCTTTAGCACAACAGTAAGAAAACACACTGAAACAAGCAGTAAAGTCTTACCCCACATCACCATTTCCTCAGCTCTGAGTAATGCAGCATACAGAAATAATACCTCCGCTGCTTCGGAGTAGAAGAGTGAATTAAATCAGACTTTAGATTTGAAATTCAGTACTAGGCCCACCACGATTAAAAAAAAAAAAAAAGCAGTGGATTGACCAAAAAAAAAAGTCTCAACAAATTATTTCAAATCACATTTAGAATCTTTCCTGACCACAGTGTAAGAAAGGTAGAAGTCAACAACAAGAAAAAGAATTGAAATTGTTGGAAGTTAACAAGTTACTCCTTAAAAAGTAACTGTGTCATGGAGACTATCATATCCAGATGTGAGGATACGATGCAGTACGCATCTCTACTTCCAGACTAAGATGGACTCCCGGTGAAACTGTTTACTATATCTTGACAATAAGGATGATGGGCTCTGCCATTGTCCATGCCTGCAATGATGGACATATGACTGAGTATGAAGAATGGTACTATAGTAATAATATAGGGAAACTCGGTGAGGGGGAAGGATTTGGGGAGGGGATAAGGGAAATCCCAAGGCCTATGGAACTGTATCATAAAATGACAATAATAATAATAAAGTAAAATTTAAAAAGTTACAGGACAAAGATGAAATTAAAGAATATGTTTACACGTTTCATGAAATGAAGGCAATGAAATGTAATAAACTAAAAGTCATGGGATATTATACAAACAGCACTAAGAGGGAAGTTTAAAACAATCAATTCTGGGCTGGTGTAGTGGCTTAGTAGCTAAATCCTTGCCTTGCACTTGCCCGGGATCCTATAAGGGCATGGGTTCGTGTTCCAGCTGCTCCACTTCCCATCCAGCTCCCTGCTTGTGGCCTGGGAAAGCATGGAGGATGGCCCAAAGCCTTGGGACTCTGCACCCGTGTGAGAGACCTGGAAGGTACTCCTGTTCCTGACTTCAGAATGGCTCAGCTCCAGCTGTTGCGTTCACTTGAGGAGTGAACCAGCACAGACAAGATCATTCTCTTTGTATGTCCTTGTCTGCAAAATCTCCCTTTCCAAGAAAAATATAATAAATCCTAAAAAATGAGTTTATGCATGAAAATTCATAAAGGTATCAAATAATTTGCCATCGAATCTCAAAAAAAAAAAATAGAAAAAGAGCAAAGTAAATTCCCAGATTCATAACAGAAAGGATTACAAAAGTAAGGCCAGAAATACAGATAAAAATCTATATAAAAAATCAATGGGGCCCAGCGGCCTGGCCTAGTGGCTAAAGTCCTCGCCAAAAAAAAAAAAAAAAAAAAATCAATGAAGAACTGAACTGATCTTTTGGGGGCAGTTGTTGTGGTACAACAGTCTAAGTTACCACTTGGTGTGTTGGCATACCATACCACAGTGCTTGGGTAGAAGCCCTTTCTGTGTTTCCAGCCCAAGTTAGCTCAAATACTTGGGGCTCTGCACTTAAATGATAAGTTCAGATAGAGTTGCTACCTGGCCTAGCCCCACTGGAGATTGAACAGTAGATAGACAATCTCTCGATCTCTCTCCTGTTCTCTCTTATTCATGCTTGATGTTGCAAATACATAAAAAGAAATAAACAAGCTCTAAAAAAAATGCTTCTTTGATGGGACCAGTGCCATGTATAATAGGCTAGCCCTCTGACTGTGGGGCCCACATCTCATATGAATACTGGTGTGTTTCCCAGCTGCTCCACATCCGAAGCAGCTCCCAGCTTGTAGCCTGGGAAAGCAGTGGAGGATGGCCCAAGTCCTTGGGCCCCTATAGAGCTACATGGGAGATGTGGAAGAATCTCCTGGATCCTGGCTTCAGATCAGGTCAGATCCAGCCATTGTGGCCATTCAGGGAGAGAACCAGTGGTTAGATCTCTCTTTTTCCCTGTATCTCCTTCTATCTTTAGTAATCCTGTCTTTTAGATAAAATGAAACAAAATGGCTCTTTTGAGACAAAAAAATTGACAAGCATTTTAAATAGGCTAAGAATCAAGCATAAACAGCCATGAAAAAAGTGACATCACTGAAACAAAAAGTTTACTAAAGACTAAACTGAAAAGCATACAGCAGTAGATTTGATCTAGAACAAATTCCTGCACAAATAAGCCTTTTCAACATTGAATCATCAATAAGTGTAAGACCTAAACAAGCTAGTAATATGTGATTAGCTTGAGTCATTAATAGCTTCCCACAAAGGAAAAGCCCAGGACTAGATGGCTGCTCTGCTCAATTCTACCAAATAATTAAAGAAGTATAAACACCAATTCTTATTACATTACTCTGAAATATAAAAGGAGGGAATTCTTTCAAACTAATTTTACGAAGTCAACATTGCCTTAGTACAAAAACCAGATAAGGACACAGCAACAACAAAATAAAGGCCTAAATAATATACTTGGTGCACACAGGTACAAAAATCTTCAGCAAAATAGTAGCAAATGAAATGCTACAGTTTATTAAAATGATTATTTATTATGATCAGGATTCATCCCATAAACGCGATAAGTCCAGGTAAGTCTGCTCAGAGGTGCAGGTGCTGAATCTCCCAGCCACATGGTTGTGGCTGGAAAACCTGTGTCAAACCAGGCTTCTTGCTAGAGATCCTAGCTCCATGTCCACGCTGCCAAGCAGCGAGCAAATCCTGGGATGGTGGGCAGCCAGAGTGACAATGGAGCCAAGCTTCACTCGCTGGCTGCCAGGTGGCAAACTCTGGGGTCTTAGGGAAGTGGAATTACTGCTTAGGAACATGCTTGAATAAGGCCACAATACATGTAGGTGAGGAATGAATCCTGAGGGACACTCAAATACAGGGCCACTGTACTTGCAGATAAGCGAGGAGCCTGAGACCTGATGGTTAGGAGGGGAGAGACTGGAAGATCTGTATGGGTCAGACTCATGCACCAGCCTACATAGGAGTCCTGAGTTGGGCTTGTTAGCATGGAGCATTGCTGACCATCACACACCACTATACGTGAAAGCTAGGGCTGGGGGCCTGTCTAGCAGGACTCAATCCCAGAACGTGACTGAATGTTGGAACAGGGGACAGGTCACATTAGGCAGGGCCATGACACTAACCGGTATGCAAAAGAACCAGGTCCAGAGGTAGATTCTGTGGGGGATATGTGGGCCAAAC